TTGCTAAGAAGTCCATCCACATTCAGGATCCAACTCAATTGCAGAATGAGGTTATCACTTTGCTAAAGCATACCAATTGAAGAATCCTACCCAATTGCTTAATCTATTGTTTTATTTGATAAATTAATTCATTCATTTTAAATATGTATTTTCTAATAACTTTACTTCTTTTTTTTAATGATTTTAATATAAATTTTACATATTATTTTATTGGAGTTTAAAAGGGAAAAGTAATTTACTTTAATATTACTTGCTATACCGACATCAATCTTTAATACATAAAATACTTTAGTCATGTGATCGAAAATAGAAAATTCAAAATCATTATTTAAAAAAAACCTGAATGTAAAGTTCATTTCTTCTTTTTAACAATGAAAAATCATTATTGAAATAAAACTAATGAAACTTGCAGCTGAATTAATGATTAAACGTGATTTTATTTAGCAATATTCTCTTATCAATGCATGGAAACACAGCCTTTATTTTTTTTTTGGTTGATTACTCGATTGGTTTACATACCTAATAGTGTCGATGAACTTAACTTATTGTATCATCTAAAAGAAACATGCCGTTGTTGCTTTTGCTTCATTTGACACTGTTTTTCTTTTGGTTGTTTCATTCGCAATTCTCCTAATCCTAATGACGGACGGGTAAAAGGTTTAAACACCTCATGATATAATTTCTTGCATCTCTTCCATAGTCGTTTTAAGGGAGCATCAGTAGTTGTGATGCGAATATTCTATTGTCAAGAATTTTTAATAAATTGGCATTTTTCGGTTTATAGTTTTATTTTGATAAATATTCCGACTTTTATTAGGAAATATTTTTTTTATTTTATTAGAATTTCAAATTTATGCGTCCAAGTATAATAAATAAAATCACGAATGGTTGAACACGTTCAAAACCAATTTTGGGGGAGATTTCATTTCGATAATCTTTTTCTTTAATTTATGTATTGTAAATCATATTATAAAGGTTTACTTCACATGAATTTAAACATTTTATATGAGGATAACATACAATTAAAATGAAAATAAGGCGAATTTATATTGATAATATTTACTAAATTTCCATATTTCCAACCAAAATTCGACATTTAACGTCGATAGAATGATTTCTACAAAATTGATCTCTTTGTAGGCATCCTCACTTATGTGAACATCCAATACGCATATATTTTCTTTGTCCAAGTTATTGAGTGACTTTATTAAAAATTAAGCAGATATTCATTATTAGCATAATTATTTCGTAGAAAATAAGGATTAAAATAAATACTTACACTCATTCGCCAGCATCCTCATACAAGGACCTAGATTAATCATACTAAAATACATTCATCGGACTCAATCTAACCACCAGGTCTCAAAATTCTGAATGTCTCCGGTAATACAATCAGTTGTACGGAAAAATGTCGACATTAGACGTATACTAAGAAGTCAAACGATTCATCTTCTTACGTGCCGGCGCGGAAATGTTTCTCTACAACGACTATCGAATAAATAAAATGGTTTGATTGACTATTAAAATAACTATTGTTAATTCATCTGGCAGCATACTAGAAGCAAAAGATTATTTATTTTTTTATTTTCTTCAATATTCGGCAAGGGATATCGAAATTTATACTTATATTATGTTCTGATGCTGACGATAATTGTTTTGAAAATAGAAAAAAAAAAAATAATCAAACAAAATAGGATCATTAGAAAAATATTGATGTAGTAGGTGAAAAATTAAATATTCAAATATGTTATTTTTAAATACAAAATTAATTTTCCGATTTGTACTTTTTATAAACTACATTAAAACACGACACGTTAACTACTTTAACAAATAACATTAAATAACAGTCTTCGACAGCGAGATATTATATTATAGCAAATAAAAAATGTCAGAATTTTCAAATGCAAAGAATATTCAATATTTACAACCTTTAAATTAGACAGATTTTTTCTCATTCAAAAACATTTTCGCATTACTCTTGCCACTTTTCGCGTTATGTGGTTCGATTAGCCATCCAGCTATTACAGTATTTTAGATTCTCTAATGTAACATTTATATGGAAACAAACTGTATGCATTATGGTAACTAGCAAATGAAACAGGATTACGAGTATTAGAGCAAACACTTGGAGTAAGTCAAGGGTCTTTAGTAAATTTTACTGATCGATTATTGAATGTGTTAATAGACTTATAACAAAAATGAATTACATCGCCACAATTTGGTAAAGATAACTTAAGGAAAAACATTTCCTGATTTTTTGTTAAATGGTGAAAGGAGTACGAGCTAGAGCTAAAGCCTTTGTTAGTCATGGTAAAAAGATAAAAGAGATTGCTCAACCACTGATCTCCATCTTTATTTCAATTGATCGTAATTGATCGTGCATCATCTCACTCACTAATCATTGCAGTTGCTGCGTCATTAATTTGAAAACTGAATCAGTTAAAGTAGATTGATATCCGGAAGCTCTTCTTTAAATCCCATTAATTCTGTTTGAGGATAAAAACAACAATCCTCACGTCCGTATTTATATCTGTAAGGATTCAGTTTTTTTAAAAATAATTCGAAAACTACAGTATGATACGCTTTGGACGATTAAAATCTAAAAAATATTAAAAAATTTTCTTAACCTTCTTCGGAAGATACAAAATGATTTTACCTGAAAAATTTAAAACATTTATTATGAAAGTTTATTTATTTACTGTATTAGTGAAGAATTCATATTTGGAAAAAAAAGGTCAAATAACATGAACAATGTCTGCAGATTGGATGTTAATTTTTGAATAATAATTCCAGCTTTAGAAATAAGGAAAAATAAATTTTTAATGCCAAGATCAGATTCGTATTATAGAGTTATTTAATTCAAGATTTTTTGATCTTGATTATAATAAATTTCCATTGATAATCTATCACAAAATATCAATTTTTAATTTTTCGCATGCTCATTTTTTCGGTTACACAAGTAAAAAAATCGACAGAAAATTTATTAAAAACATTAGATAGTATTTATAGTAGTAAATAAGTTTTATTTATATCGTCAGCAATTCCAATAAATAAATTTAAGAAATCATCAAAAAATATTGAAGGTATTATACAATAGCAAATTTTAAACGATTGAGAAGAGTAGGTACAATTTCGTGAAATCTATGGACAGGTAAAGCTTCCATCTGGGAGTTTGTTACAGCAGATAGGCGCCCCTCCTCCCCTCGGGTAAGCACATACTGTAGAGCAACAGTCCTTTTGACGTTCAATTTGACATTGTGCACGATGAGGTAAACAGGTAGGAACGACGGAAGTGGAGGTGGAAGTGGAGGTCGAGGTCGAGGTGAAAATTAAAGTAGTAGTTGTAGCGGAGGTTGATGTAACAGTTGGAGCTGGTGGACATGGCGGGAAAACGGTTGGGGTGCAAAAGATGTACTTAATGCATTTGTTAAGATGATGATAGTATTTGCTATCATTTTCATCAGGAATGCAGATAACGCCATCCCTCTTTTTATGGATAAGGGAAGTGGCGGTGGTAGTGGTGGTAGTAGTAGTTGTCGTTGTAGTCGTAGAACTAACGGTAGCCGTAGCCGTGGTTGTGGTAGTAGTTGGATTTGGACAGTTTGAAGGAAGAATAGTTTTAGTATAATCGCGTGTCTTGGTAACGGTACTGCAGTATTGATCTGCGTAGACTGGTAATGATAGAACAAGCATCAAGACAACCGAAATAGTTGTAATTAAAAAGAGGTATTTATTCGTCCACATCATATAGAAAAAGGCAAAAGGATATGGAAATGAATATTGAAAATTATTGGGTAAAGCAATTCTAGACAGAATAATAGATACAAGATAAAAATGCAAACGCACTTGGCAACCGAAAGAATCAATGGATCTCGTATATTTATATTCATCTCAAAACTTAGAAAGAATCGGCTTTCTAATGAAGATAGCGGAATAAATGCATTGACAAAGATTATGGCAATATCATAGTAATCCGTTGCGGTTTGGTTAAATTACTTAAGAATGACAAGGTTTATGGAAGTATCATAGAAATTGCTCCAGAATGTTAAAGATATATAAATAGAACAGAAATAAATAAATAATTTTAAAATTCATTTATCTCGAATCAATTACGTAAAATCTGCTAAAATTATTAAAATAATACACCGACATTGTTCCCAACCCTTAAAATTGCAATGCAGAATGAATTTATGTAACAACATAAAGAATTCATTTTTTTGTTGTACGTCTTATTAAAGTTCCAGCCAATAAATAATTACTGTAGACTGATATTATGCATGCATTTGGCGTTGAAAATTATCGATGCATAATGCATAATAACTATTAAATATGCTGATTGACAGAAATAGATGATAAAAATAATTCTTTCATATTTCCTTATCTACGTGGAAGGTTAATTATGTTTTAATTAAAATCTTTAACAGTTTAATCTTAACTCCGGCAGAAATTTAAGATTTGGCCAGAATGAAGATACAAAAATTATGATAGCTCAGTCCAATATTTCCGGCTCAAGGTTTATCCGTATTAGAATTGAACCCTGAAAAATCAATCTCCTCGTTGTAAAGATTTAATACAATTTTTACAACGATAATTGTAGTTAGTATCATTGCTATTTTTTATGTTCATATTTTAAATTGAGATTAATATCATAATTTAAATAAAAAAATATTATCGTGATTTTATGGCATTAAAATTATATAAATGATAAAGAGATATTTACATAATAACTAGAGTTAGCGTTTTGCAGGGTGATTTTTCCTCTGACTCCTTAAAACTTGATTGTTCTAATACTCAAATATTTTGCTTATCAACTTTACACAACTGATTATACTCAAATCATTAGCTTACCAAATTTATGCTTCTTAACAAATCTCTAGTATGATAAATTTCACAACTATTACAATAATGAACTCACCAAAATTTTTCTAAAGCTTTAAGAAATTTTTATTCTAAATCTTTAAAATTTTTTTCAATACTACTATAATAACAATAATATAATGATAACAAAATAAAAATTATATGATAATAAATTAATATTAATAATAATAATATTTATAATTAATAATCTTAATAGTAATGATTTAAGTAGTATAAATAATAATAAAATATGATAATAATGATTATAAAATAGTATAAATTATAATAATTTATAACTTATTTAAAATTTTTTAAGTTAAACTATTATTTTTAATTTAATTATTTTTTATTAATTAAACAATAATAGATTTTTTTTATATTTAATCTTAATTAATATTCTAATAATTTTTATTTTTTTTATTTAAGTTTAATGCTATTACTTATTTATAATTTTAAAAAAAAAGATATAATAATATTATATCAAACACTATGTTTAAATATATTTTTAATTATTATTATTTTTTATTTAATTTTTGATTTTTTAATTTTTTTTTTTTTAAAAAAAATAATTCAATCACTTTATAAAACCTTTTATTAGATTTATTATTTAATATTAAGTTAAATTATTTATTTTATAATATAAATAATTAATTACTTTTTATTTTTCAAAAATAAAATAATGACTTATATTTAAAATATTATAAAATATAATATTTAATATTTAACAATAATTGTAAAATATATTAAATAACTAAATAACAATAGAATTTATTATATAATTTAAAAAAAATAAAAATTGTTTTATTGAAATGCAATTTAATATTATTAAACTTTAACTTTATAATTTATAAATATTTGAAATAGTATGATCAGCAGTAATCTTAAAAATATTTTTTTAATTTTTGATAAAAACTATCACATACTTATAAAATATAAATTTATTAAAATATTTATACTTTAATGTGAATTGATGAATTATTAATTAAATTATATTTTAATAGACATAATTATATTATTAACTAGACTAAGTTAATTTGTGATAACTTTATTATTGCTATTAATACTTTTTCTATCAAATAAGTTGACTATAATTTAAAATCAGAGAGACAATAACTGTGACTTAAATCCAATTAATTTGATATAATGTTAATTAAGAAATTTTATTTAGTTAACAAGAATAAAAGTTATATATTTTATATTTGCAAAATATTATTATTATTTATTATTATTATTGAATGTATATTAAATATAATATTAGAATTTGTTTTATTCTCAAGACATTTAATTATTTTAATAAAAAAAATTAAATTAAATTTATCAATTTGATTTTATTAGATTTTTTATTTTTATTTTTATATTTTTATATTTTTTTAATTCATTTAGATTAATTTTAATTTAATTTAATTATTTTATATTTTATTTTTTATT